CGGTCAGCCCGGCGTATCTCTGACTCAGAAGCTCTGGTGTTGTGCACAGTTAACTCTGTTTGTAGCTAGGTTGCTACCTCTGTTAGCTTAGCTCCCACCTCCGCGTTAGCTTTGGGTTAGCTTCAGGTTAGCTTGTAGCTAGTTTGACCGGGTGTCGTCAGTTGATCCCAGCCTTACAGCCCCACCCTCAGCTCCACCTCTCTTCCCTTTTGTGGAAATGTCTGGGCTTGACGGAACCTGTGACACGGTCAAAATGGCGGTGGTGGCCACCTCCCATTTAGCCTCAAAAACGTAATATTGGAGCCTATGGAAAGGAGATGTCCAGTATATTAATGTCGATGGGCTTGATCGCAGCACATCCTAGTGGCCAGTCGTGACCTCTGCAAAATCCAGAAGGTCAGAAAACATAACTGTTTCCTTGTCGCTCTTTTATGTCACAAACTGTGGTGTGCCATCTTTCTCTTAACTTATATGGCCACTTCATGATGATCTTCCTGAGGTTTGCTGAAATATTCATTTATTCCTTGTATTCAATGTCTTCCATAGAGTTACAACATCCTTTCAGAAATAGAGCAAGTTGTTGCATTCCTTGAGCATGCTCCGCTTTCAGTGCTGGCCAGGCAAATATTTTGTGTATATCGGCTGCAGCTCCTTTGCCTTTTTATATCCTTGCTGAGGTGTCGTGTGCAGACAGCTTCTTACTAATGCTCTTGGCTTCCCCCGGTACATTGCTCCAAAAAATACAAGCAATCTTGTGAATTATTTGTTCTGTGTTCCACACAATGTTCAGATGTCCTAATGAATGAAATGTACTGCAATGGGTCTCCATCAAATGGCGTTATTTCTCTTTGTGGCAAAGTGGTGGTCTTCTGTTGTTGCATCAGCGTAGCAGTAATTTCATTCTGTTTTTGCACGATTTCACAGACTGAATCCTGAAGAACTGTATTTTGAGTAGGCTAAATATGGTGTTGTTGCTCCTCTCTTTCTGTAACGGATGGTGTCGCTGTAGAAACATTTACCAGAGTCTTTCTTGGGTTTAGAGATTAAAATATCTCCTTTTCAATTCTCACCTTTGGTCTCACGTCCTGGGTATATGAAACAAACCCCTTTTGTGTTTCTTGCTCTCTTAACTGACCATCCTTTTTTGGAATAAACTCCTTTGCGTTGGGGTTAAATTCACTCTTTTGGTCCTTTTATATCTCTGCTCATATATGAGTTCATGCCATCAGAGCAGGCCTTTCCACTAACATCGCTGCCTTCCAACACAGACAGTCTTGCAACAGCGGCAGCAATTTGTGTATCAATCTCCATTTGTTCTTTGAGTTTTCTCAATTTCTCTCTTTCCATTCTGAGGTTTTCTTCCTGAGCCTCCAGCTCATGATTCGCTTTTAGAGCAGCAGCTTTCTGCCTGCCTTTGCCTTTAAACATGCAGAAGAAATGCTGGAGGCAGATGTACCAGAATGGCTTCTCCTTGACCTTTTGCTTGATATGTTCGACACACTGTCTTCAGGATTGATATCATCATGACACTGAACCATTTCACTTTTATCAGCAGCGTCAACATCTTCATTCGTATTATTTTATCACCTTCCAGGATTCCTTTAACCATTTAGCAATTTTATCGATAAAAGCATCACTGGCCTCTTTCTCCAAATCAAACCATTGCTGTTGCTTTTCCTGTTCTTCTGCAGGAAGAGAGACCTTTGTGAATAACAACACATGAGCTTCAGTAGCATCTTCACGACATTTTTTAAACTTCTCCAGATTTTGTTCAACAGCACATACATTTCCTCATGAGACCAACAGTTCAATTTTAGCCTTTATTTTTTTTGCTTGTTTGAAACAATAATTTTGTTCCTTCTGAAAATTTCAATCATCATTAAAAACGCCTTTGGAGTCGGTTTGATTATTCTTTTTTCTGATTCATGCTGATTCATAGCATGGCCACTCCAGCATCATCTGCACAGCTCAAACAACTGATGATCTTGTCATCCTTTATGGATCCAAACAACCACAATCGCTGCACCTTGAAGGGGACACCACACCCACTGACGCAACTGACAGCTTCGCAGCATCAAACTCTGCAATTGGTTCCACATCCACGTTCAGACATATAGGCTGCGGTGTTGTTTACATCGGTACCTCTATGATGTCGTTGTTACAGTGCCTTCTCATCAGGATGCTCATGAAGGAGTACAGCGGCGTCGTTGAATAACTCCTCTGCGCGGTGCCAGAATGAGCTCTACGCTTTCCAAAGGATCTGTGTCAGAAGCGCCGTGGATTTTTTTTTTTTTCTCCAAGTGAGAAGGGTTTTTACTTGTTGTGCTGACACTTCCTGTTGTCAGCCAGCTGGGTGAGGGCGGAAACGGCTTCTGACGTGCTTCTATTCATCAATCAAACATCTTTTGGCCGTGCAATAGTCTTGTTTATTTTCTTCACAAGCACTAGCTGGCGTTTTACATAATGCTGTTCTAAGGTTAGTAGTGCTCAAAGTTGAGTGTCACAAAAAGGAATATTTCGTGCCATGGTGTGGCAAGAGGTAAAAACCGTATGCTCATCCCGCCACCCATGCGTAATCGCTCATCCGAAACACCTGAGGACCCACTTAAATAGCATGTGACGCACCTGACACCACCACCACAGATGAAAGCCCAACCAACAAAATATAATTTTATTTATTTATTTATTTATTTATTTATTTTTACCGTGTCCTGTCTAGCTGTGAAGCAAACAGAATTGATGTCTGAATGCTGGTAACAAGCCTTGAGGTGGAGCATCAGAGCGTTTGCTTTTAATGTCACTCCTGATACTTAAAACTTTATTGTTATTGTTTTTGAATGCTTTGTAATTCCGACCTGACACGGAGACAGAGGTGAAAGAGAAAGGAAAAGACAAAAGGTGGGGAGGGGGGGGGGGGGGGGTCCACAAAAATAAACAATAATGAACAAGAGTCTGCTTCTAGACCTGCAGAAAATGACAAAAAAAAGCAAAAGAACAAAAAAAAAAATGGGACACAACAACAATACAACAAGATCAAGCTATCACTGCGTCAACTTGATGAAGAAATATATAATCAACATTGTTTAACTGAACAATCACACGATAATAAATCACAGTGCATGTAAGGTTTATGTAAGGTTTCTCTATAGGAGCGTCCAACAGAGAGTGTGAGGGACCACAGATCCGCCCCCAAAGATGTGCAGGAGACGTGGGGAGCTCCAAGTCCCAGAGATCCAGGCGCTGCCCCAGAACACAGGAACCCCAAGGAGACTGCAACCAGAAAGGCCCCCGCCCCCCTCGAGAGGCACAGAGGATCGCCCCGGGGAGCCACAACCAGCAGCCGGCAGAGTCCCGGGAGATATCAGCTGCAAGCCCTCAGGCCCGGCCGCAGCCTCCCACCCCTAGCCGGCCGAGCCCGGGACCCAGCGACCCGGGACCCAGGGGCGACCACCCCCGCCGGGGACCCAGCAGAGCCCAGGGACCCAGACCCCACCAGGCAGCCACCGGGATTGATCAGGCAGATGCCAAAAATCTTAAACCCCCAGACCCGGGAGCCATGAACACTCAGGCAGACCAAGGCACAACCCCCCACACCAGGTGTGGCAGGGGGAGGGGGGACGAAGATCTATATCATCAAAAGAAGTTCCAGGAGAGGGGAGGAGTCAAAGGCCCCACCTGACATATACAGTCATACACAAACACAGTCACACAGTCACACACTCCCTCCCTCATGCTCACACATGCACATACAACCCAAGACTTACAAAAATGCACGCCGGACACCCACTCATGCTCCCCATACACACCCTATTCACTCTGGTCCCGGTACTGCTGCACATTGGGTACAACCATCACCGGTTACCAGAGTTTGACCCTTTCTGCTGGGGTGTTGATGAGCATGCTCCCCCGCCCAACGCTGAGCACAGCAACCCACCACCCCAGACCCCAACCAGACGGCCAGATCTCCCTCCTAGCCTCCAGCCCCCGGAAGCCAAGCAACAACAGAGGTGTGCGAAGACCCCTAGTCTCCCTCCGCCTGCTCCATTATAGTGTTGTGTGATCATGAGGTGTATTCCATGGCTGTGGTGAGCGGGCAGTGCGGGCATCATCCGGCCTATGCTGGCTGATGCCACTGCACCACCCCACTTACACCCTCAGCCATCAGTGTCTAAGTGCGGTTCAAAATTGGAAGTGGGCACCGGCACCCGGGAGGAGGCTGAGATATCCCCCTGCCAAATGCCGTTGAATGTGCTCACTCCCAAGGCCCTAAGTGTGTGTTTGTGTGGAATGTCGTCAGTGGAAGTGTATAAGGTGCAAATAAAATTGGGGGGCAGGTTGCCACAGGAATGCGGAAATGGGATCCATACCGGCACTCCCTGACTTGCCCACCCCCCAAGGTCCTATGTGTATGTTTGTGTGATGATGTGAGGGAGCAGGAGGAGAGAAATATGCGGGGATGGGGAGGAATGGCTGGTTGGGCTTATCCCTCCAGGGAGCCAGCTCCCCTACTGGCCCTAATAGGCACCTCTGTTGTCAAACCACCACCCAGGGCATGGAGACCCCAGCCCATCCTGCCAGGACCCTGGGCTGGGGAGCTCAGAGTAGCCCCTGGGGCCCGGCAGGGGCTACTCTGAGCCCCTCCCGGATGACCGAGCTTCTCACCCTATCTCTAAGGGAGAGCCCAGACACCCTGCAGAGAAAACTAATTTTGACCGCTTGTGTCCGTGATCTTGTTCTTTCGGTCACTACCCAAAGCTCGTGACCATAGGTGAGGGTAGGAACGTAGATAAACCAGTAAATCGAGAGCTTTACCTTCTGGCTCAGCTCTCTCTTCACCATGACAGATCGGTATAATGCCTGCATCACTGCAGATGCACCACCAATCCTGTCGATCTCATTAATCTTATTAAAATAAGAAAACCGAATGCACTAAAGAATAAATTGGTTATGTTCTCAATCTTGGTCAGATCAGCAAAACCAGACCTTAGCAGGGATGGTAC